AAAGAAAAGAAAAGAAAATCATCTGACATTCAGCTTCTCTAGGTGCCCGAAGCAGTTCTCTCTCCAGTGACGGACTCCGGGGAATGCCTTCGATTCACTGCCCTCTGTATGTCCCCAGGGCAACTCCCTGGGTCCCATTCCTCAACATGGATTCACTGGCCACAGCCATGAGCCCCACGTGGAGTAAACACAGGGCCAAGTTCTCAAGGCCACCACCCTATGCCCTAACCTGGGATGACAATCTCAACTCTGGCTATGAAGGGAGAATCACCTGTGGTATTTTTTCACTGTTTTCCAAAAACCCAGCCTCAGCCCACTCTGAAAGTGACTATGTGGGATGCTGGGGTGGAATCCAGAAAATAGACTGAAAAAGCTCTGGGATAAATGTCGGAAGAGAGGGAGGCAGCATCCCAGAAAAAGAGCCTGAAGCAGAGGCGCTGTGAACCCCAGAGGGAACTAGCACCCCCAAAACCGTACAAAGGGCTTCTTCCCCAGGGGAGGTGGGCTCTAAGAAATTGCTGTTTTTACCTTTAAAGCTTCTCAGGTTAGTGGGGAGAGGAACAAAAGTGACTTGCCTGACAAAATATTTCAAGCATCGTCAGCCCGGTAGGTAAATCAGGTCCCTGGCTTCTAACGGCTCGTTTCCCTCCACCTTCCCCTTGCCAGGCTCTCCTCCAGGACCCTGGCCTATGGCACACAGCCTCAGGCATCTGGGCTCCAGGTATGCCACTGGTGCTTAATGCAGAGTCCTTGGCTTCTCCTTAAGTTGCCAGCCTTATCTTTCACTCCACCTCTAGAACCTCATTGTGACCATCTATGAAATGCAGGTCTCGGACAAGAATCTAGATGTCTGCAACCCCTTCAGGTCTCAAAGCGCACAATGCTACACTTCCGCTCCAAAATAAGTGGAAGCATCTTTTCCCCTATTACAACTTTACCCATGGTGAGGTGCCTCTGACAAGAGAACCATCTGCCAGTTGCAGACACAGCAGTGGGTGAAGAGCTGAGGGCTTGGATCATTAAATACGGAAGCTCCAAAGTACATGGGCAAGCAGTTTACTGAACTGATGCCCTCCTGGTGAAGACAGTGGGTCCTTCAAGGAAGTGACGCCGCGCAACCGTGACCCGGTCTCATCACAGAATCCTACCTCTCCTGCATGTCAGCAGTGACATGCCTAGGAGAAAAAGGCCAAGTTCTCGGCTGCAGTGAGCTAGATAATGATTGTGCTACTGCACTCCAGCCTGGGCGACAAAGTAAGACTGGGCTCGTAAAAAATAAAGAGGAAAAAAAGGACGAATACGAGCCTCCTGCGGGTCAACAACAATAGCCAGAATGATCAAGAGATCGAAAGGAACGGAATCAGCCCATTTTGCCGCCAACTCCTCAGGAAAAGCAGCTGGCCCCAGAGGGTACAGGCAGAGAGAGTGCTCGCTGCTTCCATCTGTGGGTCTGGCTGCAAGGCTCCCACAGTTCTCTGTTCCGAGGTAAACAAGGGGCAGTGAAATCAGAGGGGCAGAGGTGAGCGCTGCCTGGGCGAGCCACCGCTCCGCGCCGGATTTGCAGGCGGCTGGAGCCCGCGGGACAGGCCAACCCCGCCCACGCCGAGCCCACGGTGGCCCCGTCCTGACGCGCGGACACTCAGGGCGGCCCAAGGAATCGCCCACATGGGATCCACCCCGCGGGTAACTATCCTTTTACAGAATAAACAAAACAGAAAAACAAAAATCTCGCAACTCCGGCGCTGGCCGTCTTGCACTGCCAATGACTCAGCAGCCTGTGTAAGTTACATACTGGAGAGAGGACCGAGCCCCCCCCGGGGCCCCCTCCACCTCCCAGCGCCCAGATCCCAGCCAGGCAGTGAAACGCACAATGTCAGGAGTAACACAACCGGAAAATGGATGATTTTATGGCAAAGAGTTTATAAAAACATCCCTTGGATTTTATAACAAAAGACAGGAAAACACCCCTTAATATATTCCAAAATAGTAATAGCCAATGTTTAAATTTCAAGAGGAAAAATCCGAATTACAGGATTTTTAAAAATATGGTTCTAGGCCAGGCGCGGTGGCTCAGACCTATTAATTCCAGCACTTTGGGAGGCCGAGGCGGGAGGATCGCTTGAGCTCAGTTCAGACCAGCCTGGGCAACACAGACCCCGTCTCTTAAAAAAAAAAAAAAAAAAAAAAAGTTAAAAAAATATGGTTGCAGTGTTCAAATATATATATATTTAATATATTACAGTAACTAAGTCCTGCCTAGTAAAAAATTTTTTTTGTAATAAAATTAGCAACTCACTGAATTTATGTGAATACATGGTTTTTAAAAATCTCAATGAAGATTAAAAGTTCACAGTCAGAGGTTTCAGCAGCCCGTTCCCAAGCTTATTTACATGCTAATTTTGCTTAGTAAACTCTGGCTTCAGAGAACACAAAGGTCAGCTGCCACCAGGTCCCTCCTCCCAGGCTTGGGCCCTAGGGACCCTGGGAAGGCGGCTTCAGTGTCCGCTTCCCTGAGCAAATGCTGTCTGGACTCTGACGCGGACCCACCGGGTGGGGAGGGTCTCCACGCCACCTGGCTGTGCGTGGGGCAAGTCCTGCACCCCGGGCCTGCGTTTCCCGCTGCGCGAACGCATGGTCTTGCGAATCCAGCCAAGGGCACAGGGCGAGCCTCTACTCGGGCATTAAGCAGGCTGTAACGACTGAGTGCGGCACTGGCAGCGTCCTTGTGCTTGTGTTTTCTTAACCCGTAAGTAATTTAAAGCTTTGTTTTGGAACGACCCTCTAGTAGAACTGGAACATGCCCATTAAATGCCATATTTTAAAAACACTGTAACCCCCTCCCATCTCCGCCTTCACCCTTCAGGAAATCCTAAATCACCACGGATATAAACATTAATAACAAAATTAAAGCACATAACAGTCCACTGGCCACGCCTTGGTGTTTGGTCGTTAAAACCAATACGGGTCTGAACTACAGACCGCGGAGGGCAACGTGGACTTTGAGGCTTCTCGGACCAACTGCGAGACGCAGATTCACCTCCAGGTGGAATTCCAGCTTGGCGGAGC